AGCTTAGTAAACCCAAAGCATTCACATCTTGTGTGCACGAATGGAGATGGTGCACTGCAAATGATGCTCCTCACGTGTTTTACCCGCTCTGTCTGCATCCAGAGGGCATCGCAGAGCTGCAGACCAAGGGGTGGGCAGAGCCTTTTTGCAGTGCCAGCCCGAGTGAGAGCATCAGCTGGCACGCTGCCTCCTTGGTGTTTCTCGTGGGCTGATGACTGGAGCAGTTGCACTTAAAATACCGGTTCTCACAGTTCCCTCTCTCAGACACCTGACACTCTATATTATACATTGCATTTGGGAAGTTTTAGGCAGCTAATTCACACCCTGAAGGCTGTGTGTGGAGGGCTGAGTTTTAGGATATCTCACCCTTGTCTGCAGGTGAGGTGACACGCGTGCCTGGGCTGTTAGGTGTGCTAACAGGAACCGCCCAGCTCTCTTTGCAGTATCGGTCAGCATCTCTTTGGAGCGAGGCTGAATAATAATGCCTTGGTGCAAAATGGTAATTGGGGCAGGGAGGGGTTGTTAGGCAGAATGGCTTGTAAGTATGGGAAGGGAAGAGCAAGTCTGAGTTTTCTAGAATGCTGAAAAGCATTGTCACACACAGTTTTGGGAGTAGATGCACATGTATGTCTGCACAGACGCTCATGCAGCGTGTTGCTGTGTGTGTATAGCAGGTGTGTGTGTGTGTGACCAAGTGCTTGTTTGTGGGGCAGTTTGCATAGCGTGATATCAGTATGCCAGGGCAACCACAGCTATGTAAATATTGCTGCTGGTGCAGATACTGGCTGCAGAAACAGTGCCCTTCTCCAGTCCAGCTGTTATCAGTATAGCTGAGCTATTATGTCAACAAACGCAGAACTGGAGGAAGGCCATTGAGGCTGAAGCTGTTTCTGTGCAGGCCATTATGCCAGTGTAATTTAACCTCCTGCTTATAGCAGGAAGATGTTAGTGTACCACTCCTTTAGTACAGAGTCCAGGCCATTTTTGTAAAGGATGCGGTGTTGGAAATAGTTTAATGACTCTACTCTCATTTCCATTTGTGCTCTCGAGGACCAGAATACTGCTCTGCTGGTGCTGATGTTTTGTGGCCTTTCCCACAGCAATATAACAAGCACTGTATTAGATGCGGGTGTGCTTCAGTGGTTGCACTGGGTCAGTTTTGCTCTGGCTGTGGCAGTTCAGCAGGCTGTGCTGCAGGGACACTGCTCTGCAGAAACTGCTTCCAGCCTGCCTCCTGCTCGTCCTGTTCCTCCTTTTGCCAGCTTCTGAATGGTGCCACATGCTATTAAACAGCTAGCTAGTTTGAACTGTTAGCTTCCTAGCTTGTTTGTACGCTTCTGCGTGCTTGCAGCTTTCCTACATCAGCAAACTGCAGCGCTGTTCTGCAGGAATAGAGGGTTTGCCAGGAGCCTTCTTGCATCGCAGGGCTGTGCTCGGAGTCTGTTTTCTGCAAGGAAAAAGAACAGCCAGGGCTTGGGAGTAACATTTGGGTCATGCGAGGGTAAGATGGGTGGGGGCCCTGTGTGAGTGCCAGCCTTGTTGGCTGCATCACAGCCAGTCTGCTTGATGTAACTTGGGGAACGTTGTTTGTCAGGGTGGTTCGCGGGAAGTGAAAGCTGAAGGGACAGGGAGGAGCAGTTGTGTGGGACACGTGTCTGCATGTTGTGATTGATTGTTCCCTCTCTCGGGGCTGGATCGATGCTCTTCATTTACGCAGGGCTTTGCGGGCTGGATGGCAGAGGGATGTTCACCTTTTGGGTCATTCCATAAAGATGATATTTACGTTTCCTGTTACATGAGGAAAAAGTTTGTGCCCTTCTGAATGACCCAGTATTAACGTGCAGTGGCAAACAGTGCCCTGTTTTGGACAGCCCGGCAGCATTGCAGGTTTGTTCTCCTTTTTCTCTTGACGTGTCAGAACCCTCTCTGCCTTACAGCTTGGGCTCTTCTTAAAGCACAGCTGAGCAGGGCAGCTGAGAACCATTGCACGTGGCCATGGTGGTGTGACATAGCTCATATGGTACTAAATAAAGTGTAATAAACACAGATGGGTTTTTATGTTCTTAAGGTGTGTGTGATAAAACTCTTCCAAATTGGAGGCTGCTAGTGAAGTGCAGCCCTCCTCGTTTTCATTAGCACTAGAAGTCTGTCTGAAGGGCGATGTTCCAGGGCGGTGCATTGTGCTCTGAATGGAGAAGGAGTTTGCTACACTAAAGCCACGTGCCTTCGTGTTAGCACTGTGTTTGAAAGGAATAACCCATGCTTTCTTTACAGATAAAGCCTAATGTAGCTTATAACAGCTCATGGCAGTCCTCTTGCTGTGCTCTGTTGTACCTGTCTTTAGGAGCCCTAGCTAATGATTAAGGCTAATTTCAGCCTAACAGCAAGTAATGGGCAGTAACTGCTTCAGAGTCTGGAGTGAGGAGTACCTAGAAAGTCAGGCTGGGAGGGCAGGTGTCTGAGCCAGCCTCAGAAATGCAGAATGCGGTCTCAGAAGCCTTCAAAAAGGAGTTACACAACTTGGAACAGAAATCTCCATGGAACAGAGCAGCTGTAGGTCAGAAATGCAATACTGCTGTGTTTCATCTTAGTGGGAGTCGCTTCCTTGTTATTTGAGCTCTTTGTGGGAGGAGATGTTTGCCCAGAAGATAAACTACGCACTTCTAATATGATGCAATTGGAGCAAAGTTCCTCCTGAAAGCTGAAACAAACAAGTGAACCTTTTTTTTTTCCCCTATTTTCTGATGTAAAGGGTGGAAAACAACATTATTTGGCAGCATGCAGGTTGTGGATTTGTTTGCAGGCCTGGTGTGGAGCGTGACTCTGTGCAGGAGGAGCCTCTCCGTGTAGCTCAGCACTCCCTGTGCACACAGTGCTCACAGCTCCTGCGTGTGACACTGCAGTAGTCTGCTACGTAGAGGAAATGAAGAATAGTTTGTGCATCCTGGATCCTGGGCTTCCAGCATGAGAACCCATCCCAACTACAGATGATGACATAGGGACAGTGGGGGTGTTAGTGAGCAGGTGGGAGACCTCTGCTGGAACTTTCATCCTGGGAGGACTGCTTCGTGCTTCTGGCAGGACAAATGTAGGGTGATGGAAGTGGATTTTTAATTGGTTGGTTTTTCATGCAGCACTTAAGCAACAGTTTGATACCATATCTCTGTTTAAGTACGTGAGTGCTTTTGTCTTTGTTTCCTTCTGGTTAATGTTTTACCTTTCAGTTTCTGTGATTCAGGGAGATGAAGTAGTAGCAAGTCAGACCAGTGATCCATTTTGCATGTTTTGTTCTGATGATGGCCACGGTCTCCCCTTTGTTTTCTCTTGTTTGTCAGGGTAAAATTTGGATTTTCCTAATCAACTTTTTTGTCTGTTTTGACAAACTTCTTTCTCTTACACCTGAAGAATAGGGCTGAGCTGCTCTGCCTGGCTCTGTGCCATCCACAGCAAGACTGCCATCACAGTTGTGGGAACCATCAGCTTGAGAAATGGGAGAATTCACTGTCAAAAATCCAGCAACAGCACAGACAGTGTGAGCAAATGGATTTCCCAAGTACAGTAATTGCAGCAATTGAAGGAACTTCCAGCCCTCTCTGAAGGGCTGAAAGCGCTGCCCAGGGGGCACAGCTGTTTCACAGCATGCAGAAATGATTGTGCTTTTTTTTCTCATAATGCAATCCTTATTCCATGGATTGGGCCCATGATTTAAAATACAACTATTTGTCATAATAAGTACAAACCAGAAAGTAATTCTCCTGGAAGCAGTGTTAGCGTGTTCTGTTGGTTTTTTATCTGATTTTAAATAAAAAAGGCAAAATCTAATGATGGAAAAGTATATTAGCTCATTTACATACCTAAGGTAGACTAACTGCTCTTCTGATTCCAAACTGACCCTGTTCTTCTCTCCCTCCATGGCCCTTGACTGGCAGTTACTTATTGTGTAGAAAAATCAGGTGGTATTTTACCCTCTTGTATTTTTGGGAAAATTGAAGCATCTTTTTATTGCTGCTTTTTGCCCCTACACAAGTGCACCTCTTGTTTTTCCTTCTTCATCACATTACCTGGGTATCTAAAAGTGCAATATGTCTGTAAATATTGTGTTAATGGCCTACAGAAATGTCTGACTGCTGGAACTGCTGATCTCCCGTGTTGTCTCTCTGTGTTCTGCCTGCACAGATGACTTTCTGTGGTTGTTCTGCTGTTAATGTGAATAGTAGAGACATCTCTGCTGGGTTGGGGTGGGAGTTGGGCTGTGCAGTTTGTGTGTCTCCACCCTGGGATGGTGTTCTATCAGTTTTAGTATCTCCTGCTTCTTACCCAGACCTTTTGCTTAAAAATTTCAAAGTTAATTTCACTTTTCTTAGACTTAGAAGACTTAGCTACAAACTTAAGTTATTTGTAAGGTGACTTTTCTCATGTCTTATTTGCAGAGCACAGCCCTGTGCTGCTTTTTAAGCATTCAGCTATGTGTGCATGACTGAGAGCACAAAACCCTTATGGATAGGGCCTTTACCAGCATGCAGCAGGGGCATAACTATTGCGTGTATCTCCATGTGTGACATGGTGTTTAATCTGCGTGCTGCCGAGCACATTGCCAGGCTTTTCCATTTGTGGAAATGGCTTCTTGTGTAACAGGCTTTGTGAAACAGGAGTAAAGAACTCTGCTTTTCTTCTTTTTGTGTCCTGAGTGAGCTGCCTTATTACGAATGAAAATAAATGCTTTAAGTATTCCCAGTGTTTTTACAACTTGGGCTTCTGATATTTTGAAATGCAGTGCAGAAATGAAGTAGACCTCACGCAGCTGGAATGCAAACAAGAAATGTAAAACTTCACTGGGCTGTAACAGGCCAAGGAGAGGGCTGAGGGCAGCGCTGCAGTCAGTCTGCTGGTTGTGTGGGCCGATGAACAGATTGCTGCTCTGTGCAGCTGTTCTCCAGGTGGATGATGTAGGTGTAATAGCAGAACCTTGACACTTTTTTTTCTTTTTCTGTCTTTTGTAGTGTGCCGGTCAAATAAAAGCCCGTGGGTCTGTCTGACGTGCTCCAGTGTCCATTGTGGAAGGTGGGTATCAAGTGTTGGTGTGAAAGCTGTTGAGTCAGACCTCTGCTTGCTTGCTTGGCTGAAGGCAGTTCATTCAGGAAGTTCCCAAATGCCTCCGTTCCCTGAAGGAAGCCTTCCATGGCTTTATTTAATGCTGTGTAACACCAAGCAAGATTCTTCGCTTCCTTCTAAGAGTCTGGTGAATGTACTCAGCACAAATATTGTCCAAAAGAGACCTGAGTGCTGGATGTGATCGCTCAGCTCAGTCCTGGTTGGGTGGTTAGCAGCCTGCCTGCAGCTGGGCACTGGGACTTGGGCCCTTGGATGTCCTGCCAACCCAAGGCCTTATTGCATGAAGGTGCCTGGAGAGCAGCTAATGCTGTGGGCTGTTGTCAGGTTCCATTCAAGATGGAAATCCCCAAACCCAAGTTGGGCACAGCTTACTTGGAGTAAAAAAGCAAGTGTCTGGGTTAGCAGAGAGTACTGTAACTGTACAGTAGTATAATTCTGGAACAAAGCAGTTATCATAGCGTGTATGGGCTTCTGCAGATTTCCTCCGAGCATACCTACCTGATTTTGTATCAGCTGGAGCACACCAAGAATTTCTATGGGAACGAGGCAGTCAGTGCTGTTGTTTGCATGTCAGGGTAACTGTCGAAAAACTGTTTCTCTAGAAATGGTCGTGATGAATAAACTGAGTCTGTAGGCAGTGCTACCATTCACTGTCTGATATGGGAACGTTTTCGTCTGTGCTGGCGTGTGAGCTTTTGTTCTGGGGCACTGTCATTAAACTTGGTGAGGTTTAATGACATCCTCCAGGTCCCACTGGGAACATTACCAACCAGTTACAACACCGGAACGTTTCTGGTGGAAGTGTGGCTTCACAGACCTGTCATTTGCACTGTCAGGCAAAAAGCCACCTCCTGTAAGCACGGCTGTCTGCTCTGCTTTCTGCCAGCACAGCAGTGTCCCTGGCCACGTGGCTTCACTGGCACAGTGCATTAGCAGAACTGTTTGTACCTGCATGTGAGAACAAGTGCAGACCAGAAAAACCTTCATGTGGAGATGGGCAGAACTCCTGGCAGTTGGCATTAAGCAAGACGTGTTGGGGTGTGAAGTCACCTCTGGTCTGGCCATGCGCTTCTGAGAGTTAATTTGTCAGCTGATATCTGGGACTCTTGCATTTGTGATGACTTTTCTTTGTTAATTGAAGATGCTTGACTTTCTAGAGAGAGATCTCACACGTTGGATTTGAGAACACTTGCTGTGTCAACAAAAGAGCTGTAGGACTTGAGTTCTTTTCTCACCTACGTGACCCATGCTGCTAAAGTAATCACAAAAGGAAAGAGTGCTGGGTGGGAAGACAAAGGAGACCTCCAAGAAAAATAGATAGGAGAATAATATGTTATAGCGAACCACGTCATGAGTGTGGAAAACAGTAACAGTGCTTTTCTTGGTTGTGGAGCTGCATGGGCCTGGTGAGGGTCCTGGGTACAGAGTACAGAGATGCCAGTGTGTGGCTGCTATGAAGATGGTGGAAAAACTGATTTGGACAAAGTGAGAGAGTAAACAGGTTAAAAAAAATAATAATAACAAAAGTTGACTGATGTTTTCGTGTAGGTGAATTGCCTGTTTTAATGCTTGTATGATACTGCATGCATGTTCTGATGGATTTTGTTGTTTTTGTTCTACTTTGTTCACTGAATGTTGGTGAAATAATTGTTTACAAAGCCTCACTTTTTTTTTCTTCCTGTATTTTAGATATGTGAATGGCCACGCCAAAAAGCATTATGAAGATGCACAGATTCCTATGACCAATCATAAGAAAACAGAAAAACAAGAAAAAGTTCAGCATACTGTGTGTATGGATTGCAGTAGTTACAGTACATACTGGTAAGAGTTTCGACGCAGTAATTTGACAACCTTTTACATACTGGAAGCTGTAAACTTTAGACTTTTGTGAAGCATTATTTCGTATACATTACTATGTACTTCATCTCTTGATTTCCAGACCTGACTGCTTTAAAGCAGTTATGGGATAACCATCTGCTTTTGCCTGTCTTGTGTAGCATTGATTGTGGCTGCACTCCTGTGCTTCAGTGGCTCAGTTCAAACTTTTGGATGTAAATACAACTATACGGGTTATATATGTGTTACATACATATATAGTTTGGGTTTGTTTAGAACCTGCCTTTTCATTGCTGCTCTTCAGTTACTTTCATCTTTTCATCTAATGAATGAGCTTTTCATGGATCCTTTATTTGTGATACTGGAAAGTTAAGTAACGTGTCATAGATCCTGCCTAGGAGATGTGAATGTGAGATGTGTAAATGCGTGTTTGTTTGTTTTCAATATGCTTTTTTCCTTCACTTTGGGGAAAAAAAGGCCTCTTTTGGATGGTGAGAGTTTGGGAGAGTGATGGATCGTGCTTGGAGGCAGCATCAAGTTCTCTGACAAGATTAAATAGCAGAGTCATGGAAGTGGTTCTGTTGACAGAAGCATAGCCCAGGCTGCTATGTGCAGGACATACCTAGTACAGATCTTAGGGAGATCAGTGTTACTGTGTTGTAAAATTACTTTCATGCAGAGCTCTATGGGTGGGTACTGTTTTGTTCAGAAGATCTTTGTGTACTTTATGGGGGAAAAAATCTATCAGCTGAAGTTTACACGTCCATTTTATGAAGAACGCTTCTGTAACAAATGTTTTTATTGCTTGCAAGTAAAATCCCAGTTAAAGTGTTCCACCTGAGGAAATTCTGCTTGGAGCAGTTCAGAAACGACTTGGGCAGTGTGTGTAGCAGGGACAGGAGCTGTAGAGCTGTTAAACTCAGAGGGAAGTAAAATGGGAGTGGCTTTATGATGTATGGGGACTTTGTTTTTTCCTACATCTTACATCAGTGACCACCAGTTTCGCCCATTCCTGTGTGAAAACGTGTATTTTTTCCAAGTAGTAACATGCACTGGTGTTACCAGCATTGGAACAGCTGTGGGAAGCTAATCCCAGTTTCCCAATTAACGCTGTTAACAACTGAATTCTGAGCTGTGATTTTTTTATTTTTTTTTTTTTAGTCACATTGAAAGTAATAACGTCTGCAGGAATTCTAGTGGGATATTTGAAATCTTGGTTATATCTGCACTGACAAATGGTGCGTGCCTGGTCTGCCTGAACTCACAGAGGCTTGGTGTGTGCACACAGCACAGCTCCCTGCTGACCTCATCTCAAACCTTGATGTTTTGCACTGCAAAAAATGGTGCTCAAACTGGGGGCAGTGACGTGTTATTGAAACAGAACGTGTTTGTGAGGAGGGAGTGGGCAACTCTCGTTGGAAGCTTACTGGTGTTTCACAGCATATTTGTAATAGAAGCAGAAGGAGCAGTTCAGCATGTGATGTGTTTTCTGCTGTAATCAAAGCAGAAGGCTGAGTCATCAGTGGCTGAACTGGAACTAATTGCAGAGAGCTTTGCCGTGGGGACTTCCTCTTGCATATAATTCCCTGGCAGATTACAAGTCTGCTGTGCCAGTGTGAAGCTGAGCGAGTCTCAGAAGCAGCATATCTTTTGCTTTCCTTAGAATACTTTGGGGTTTTTGGTTGTCAGAAAAAAAATACCCGGATTTGGTATTGCAGTCTTGTGTGTGTGTGTGTGTGTGTGTATATACCCACGTATATACACCCATGTTTATGTATATACACACGTGTGTATGTATTCCTCCCCCCACCCCCAATGGAAATGAGCTTAGATGTAAGAAGATGCAGCAGAAGATGTTTGGACCAAAGCCTGCCCCTGTGTTCTGGCAGTTCTGTAAGGGTTGCTGTCAACCAGTGCTTGCCGCTAAAGGAAATGGTTGGGTGAGCTCCAGCCATAACCAGCTACTGGAGATGGAGTTCTAAAATGTTGTTTTCAGCTTCTTCAGTGTAGGTGTGAAGCTGTGAGGTATTGGGATGTTTATGCAATTATGTTGCTTCCAAGGGAACTTTCATTTAAAATCATATTCTATGCAAAGCAGTATGGGCAACCTCAGTAATTTGAAAGTCAAGAAAATACGATCCTAAGACTTAATTAAATTCTACTTCTATGAAGATGACAGAGAGGCTTTTCTGCAGCACTTCTACTTTTTAGTTGTGGAGTTTTGTTGAGCTGTGTGGAAAACTCTTGTTCTGCTTTCATCCTGTGGATTCTCAGTAGCTGTGTTCCTTAGCTGGTGGTGGCAGTGAGTACGTCCATGTAGGCTGTTAGAATGAGAAGGCATTTAATTTCATCCCATCTCTTTAGCAGTCACAAGAGCACAGTGCAGGGCTGTTGCAGCCATTCCTTTCAGTCCAAGGAGATGAAATACTGTGACTGTTGGAGCTAATGTGGTTTATTGAATTTTGCATCTGATTCCCACTGAAACCAGAAGTCCCCTGTAATTGCATTTCAGAGTGGAAGTCCAGGTGTGCAGACGTGAAGGCATCTCTTCTAGTTGCAGCAGTAAGGTGTGTTAGAGCCTTGCACTGAACTTGTCTTTCAGTCCCTGTGCACAAATGTAAATGGCTAACAGAAGTGAACAGGGCTAATTAAAGTGTGCCTGGGAAATAAATGCATTCCCAAACTTCTTTCCCTCCCAAACTAACTGTTGAATTTTCAAAAATCCATCACTGGCAGTAGCTCTTGTGTGGATTCCTTATTTAAGGTCTAGGAGTTACAGCTGCTGTGTTGAGCATTTGGAAGTTCTGAGAGTTGTGCTGAGTTTCTGTTTGCAGATGAAAGCGCCCCTAAAAAAAACCAGACATCCTGTGTGCTGCTTTGCAGGCTCCTTGCCATGGGAAGGGCGTTTACTTTCCCAACTCTGCAATCCCTGGATGAGTTCAGTGTTTGAATTAACGTTGGCAGTACTGTTGCCTTTGTACTACATCACAGATTTACACAGCAAAGAATGCTGTAAATTCCAGTTGTACCTGATAGTCGAGAGCTTTGTTAGTTTACAAAGCATGGATCTGCTCCAGCTGATGATGAGAATGTATTTCATAGTGGAGTCGGTGCCAAACGAGGAGGGAAGCACTGAGAGCTGTGCTGTTAAGGATGCCCAGTGTAAGCTGGTTGTCCCCACAGACCAGCCAGACCCTGAGAGCTGTGTTGGATGCCACAGGGCTGCCAGGCACCCAGAGCTGAGCCACCGTTGTGCCAGGCTGAGGAGGACATTGGGTCTCTCTGCTCTTTATTTTATGCACATTGCTCTCATGTGAGGCGTTGCACATGGTGTGAAGTCTTTTCTTGCCTTCCTGTTTCTCATGCCTTCATATGGGTTGCCTTGTTGGTGAGGTACTTGTTGGCTGCCCCTGTGAGATGCTGTGAAATGCTGTCTGCAGTTCCTAGGCTGTTCCATGCTGCTTCAGCATTTGTCCCTTAGTTATAAGGGGTCTTGTCTTTCCTTCCCCCTTTCCTGTACAGCCCTTGTATATGTCCATCTTCTTGCCTTCAAAAAGTAGTTAGAAGAGCTAGCTGTGGGTAAGAGTCCATGGCATTCCATGGAAATGTGAAATCTTTGTAGGTGATCACAGAATTTGCTGATTGCTGTCAACCTTTACTGAACCATAGTTTACATAGGAACTGTTACTACCTTTAATATTGCTGTGGTATTTTTACTTAAAGCTTGTGTGTTTCCCTTTTTTTGCTGGTGGTGTACGTGCAGACAGCAGGTGAGGAGCTGCTGACACCCTGTTGTTGCAGAGCTAGGCGTTGTAATGCTGGGCTGTGAGCTCTCAAGTAAGCAGCATCAACAGCCTGTATTACTAGGAGCATCTCCACTGGAGGGAAGCAGTTGGCTTTTTGTTTTGGTGTTTTTTTTTTAAAGTTTTATTTCTTTATGCATCATTTGGGATCCTTAGTAAGTGACAAAAAGGCATTTGTTGTAAATACCTGTGGCTTGGTTCTTTTCAACCTTGTTTCTGCTTTTCTCCTTGCGCTCACCTGGAGGCAGTGGGGGAGCAGCTTTTGCTTGTTTGTTTTTTTTTTTTAGCTCAGTTATTTTTGCACTCCTGCCTTGGAAATATCTCACAGCTCTCTTTGTGTTCGTGCTTCTGCATGTATAAAAATGGTGAGACAACAAGTGGTGTTTGTGGCTGTACACGAGGTGTGAGTTGCCACAGCCCTCTGGTGTGAGCTGGACAGACCACGATGTCTCTGTTCATCCTCCCTGCTCTTTTTTCCATGGCAGAAACTCCAGCACTGCACATCAGTTCAGCAGCTCTTGATGGCAAACCCATGAGGTTTTAATGATAGTTTTACGGTATTCATATAAATGGGTTTCTGCTATACATCGATTTAAAAACTTCATATTCTGCTTACTGACATCAGTTCCTCTTTCGATAAATCTTGTATGGGTTGTCTACTGATGCTGCTTTTGGTTACACAGCAAGTTTGAGTTTTTGCTTAACTGAACAGTGCACTAAGTTGAGTGATAGGTAATCCTTGTGTTTTCTGATAAAGAAGTAGCTAGAAATAAAAAACACGTAATGAAATATTGCCTGGACCATCTCTTGCTGTAAGGCACTGGTCAGAGGGAACCAGGCTCAGTTTGTAGCTGTTGGGTTCCCCTCTCCTCCTCATAATTCTCACTGAATCACTGCAGTGCTTCCAGCATGACTGCTCTCTGACTTCATTGAAATTGGATTAACTTTGATTTGGTATTTTTACTTAAAGCTTGTATGTATAAATGTTTCTTTTTCTGATAAATATTCTTCATTCTGATAAATCTTCTTGCAGTTATCGCTGTGATGACTTTGTAGTGAATGATACCAAGCTGGGACTGGTGCAGAAGGTCAGAGAGCACCTACAGAACTTGGAAAAGTAAGTGGTGTGTTTGCTACCCGTGCTTTGGGTAGGCTGACAGTATTGCATCATTTAAATGGCATTTCTGTTCTCTGTGCATATTTAGTACCTGTGTTTTGGTCATCGTATGAGTGATACTGTGCACATCTAAAAATGCCTTTTCATCACCGAGTAGCAGAATGGAAGAGGTTTGGCTGATCATGTACATCCTCTTTCTTATATGCTGTGCTGTGTGTGCAGGAATTTAGAAATTCATTAGTTTTCTTTCTCCCATGTCAGTAATACCTATATTGTTCCTTAGAAATGGGACAGGATTTCCAGAACAGAATCACAGCAGAAAAGTTTCCAAAGCAAAGAAACTGAAACTGAAATGCTGGTGGAAGTAGTTTTCATGTTATTTGCATAGTTTAGTTTCCAGGCAGAAAGACTAAGAAAGGTTTATGAACTTAAACTGTACAGAAGAAACATGCGTTTCCTGTGACGCTTTCTGGCTCTCTGCCATGGAAAAGTAAATACTGTAATCTCTGTGATGCAGATGCTGTGGCCTGTGCTAGATAGCAAATATTTTTTTCCTAGTTTGCTTGCAGATCTTCCCTAATCCTAAGCGGAAGTGCATGTGCATACAGTGCTTCCCAATCTATTGAAATGCCCCAGAGTTCAAACAGCATTCCTCTGAAGTCGCTGCGATGTCACAGTGTCTGGGTCCTTCCTCAGTGTGCTGGGGACTTCATCAGTAGCATTAGTGCATTAATGTAGTGAGATGTGCCCGCACCCCCCACAGTGAGAGCACACCTGGAGATGTCGCTCTTCCAGGGGCGGATGTTGTGGTGATGGATTCCATCGTGTCTAATGATAGCTTCTGAATGTTTGGAGGGTGTTCAGTTCAAAAACAAAACTGAAATAGAGCGAAGCCTAAAAGCTGGAATGTGCTGTGGTTCTGCTGTTAAAGAGAAGTCCTCCGTGGCAGAATCCTGGGCCTCTGATTTCTGATGCTGTGGAAAAGAGAAGCTTGTTGTTCTTGTGGTACTGTATGAGTCTTACCCAAGTGTTACACCCTGGTGTATTCATACGTCAGAGAAGTGCAATACATTACTGATTGCACTTCAGATACTTCTGGCCTTTGGTACTTTACCTTGTCCTGGCTTTCTCAGAGTTCAGGATGACTCTTCCGGCAGAAGTATTTTATAGAAAACTCTATTAAGTACTCCTTTGGTTATGGGAGAAGATGAAGGCTATTTCAGATCAGAGGTGGCACGTAACAAGGGCATGTCTCAGGGCACACACTGCAGTATGCGTAGCCTGACACAGTTAACTTGGACTTGGGTGTCAAAAATAGGATGTGCATCTGTACACTATGCATTCTATTTTCAGAGGATGAAACGCATACGTAGTGATCAGGAAGCTCTTTGCTGTCTTAATGACAACTGATGGCAGATGTGATAACTGTTATGACATTGGGATGATTATCTGTTGTCTGTCTCCTGCAAGATTTTGTTTTATAGTAACATGTTTTATTTGCTTCCCAACAGTTCGGCCTTTACATCAGACAGACACAGGAAAAGAAAACTATTGGAAAACTCATCTCTGAACAGCAAGTTACTAAAAGTAAATGTAAGTATAACAGAGCAATACACAGTTTTGCTAAGCCTTTTGAGGTTTATAATTGGCCTAGATTTAAAGTACTTAGTCAGCTACCAACTCCTTCCTGGTTTATTTTGTCTTCCTCATCTCCTGACCACACTGAGGGAGCCTGTTCTCATTAAATAACGTTTGATACTCTGCTGTACTTCTGCTGGCCTACACTTTGAGCTTCTCTTTGTTCCTTAAGATCAGTGAGATGGAAAGCAGGGTAGTACTCAAGATTGAAACAGCTAGAAGGAGGGGTTTATTTTCATTTCACCTTATTTTGAGTAGACGGGGTGTTTATTTTGTTCCTTTTAGAGTGCAGAAAGAAGACAGAGAGGCAGGCCTTTGTCTAAAGGAATAAGAGTAGTTATTAAGAAAAAGTAGAAAGCTTTTAAAACTTTTAAGGAACAACTGATGAAAAACTTGCTTTCCAAAGCAGCTGTGAAATATTCTCAAGACTGTACTCCTTATCATGTTCTGTCTTCCTGATGGGTCGACTTCACGTCTGCCGATCGGAACCCAGGAGAACACAGTCCAGCTCTGTCTGAAAAGCTGCACAGTATTTTCCAGTCAAAGAATGCTCCAAACCAGATGCCTGTTTGCGGTGGCTAGAGTTGAGGGATCTTCTAATCCACATAATTTCTCACAGATTTCAGGGAGGAAGAAAGAAGGGAGAGTGACTCGGCTCTGTGTGACTGCCTTGTTTTCACCCTTCACCAGAGGGAACGTAGAGCAGAGTGCTGTCCTCTCAGCCCCTGGGCCTGCAGCACAGCAGAGAATTCCAGTGGAGCTGAAGTAATAGCTGTCTTCAGCTACGAGAAATAATTGTCTGAGTGGGAAGCAAAGAAGCTCTGATGATGAATGGAAATAAAAGGGGAGGGGTGGCAAAAGCAAAGCAGTCAGTTGCTGCTTTGCAAAGTCTTTGGGTTTAGTGACATTGAAAATGTACCGCCAGGGTTGCTTTGGCTTTGGACCTGCATTTTTCAAATCGAGTAGTTAATGATTGTTAAAATTTGTGTTGATATCACAGTAGCAGCTCTGCTGGGAGAAAGCAGGTGAGCAGGGATGTGTGTGTCTTTAACCTAACCATCCTCACTTCCAGGGAAGCACCACTGCCCTCTGTGCCACAGGCCTTCGGAACCTGGGGAACACGTGTTTCATGAATGCGATCCTTCAGTCGCTCAGGTACTTCCTCTCTGTCAGTCAGGGCTGAGCTTGCCAGGGACAAAGCACAAGTCCATTACTGGGACTGCTGAAGCAGAGCGTGGAATCAGTAGGTAGACAATGACACTGCATTAACTTCCTTAGCAGCTGCAGCCTGTTTTTGTTAGGGAATGCTTTCCGATAACTCGGTCTCTCACAGAACCTGTTTGTCAAAGCAGAGCCAAAATGTAGTTGTTTCAGGTATTTGGGATGATGGTGTATTTACGGATTCATCACTCATTTACAGAAGATAAGCATTTGTTACAGTATTTGTAGTATTGTGGAAGAACATATTTTTTAAAAACAAAACAAACCTGTTCCTATTGCCATCATTTATCATCGCTAGGTGAAGTTTTGTTCATGGATTTCAAATAATGGACTCCAGGATACATAACCTTCCCTTTATTCTCTGCCCTTTAAGGATTTCATTCATTTTTTCCTTTATTTTCCAGTAACATTCAGCAGTTTTGCTGTTACTTCAAAGAATTGCCTGCTGTGGAGCTGAGGAATGGGAAGACAGCAGGCAGGAGAACTTACCATACCAGGAGCCAGGGAGATAACAACGTGTAAGCAGTCGTCTTTGTTGTCACTGAACTTTAATGAAAACGGCAAATGCTCAACTCGTAGAGCTGCTATATGCTTTCAGTGTTAGAGAGTTGTAGAAAATGATCCCTAGAGGATCAGTGTCATAGAAAAATAGTTGGCTGCACAAGAAAAAGGAACTGCTGCTTGCAGTGGCCTCGTGTCAGCCTTGTCCTGCAGGGGGAGGCAGTCAAATAAATCAGGAAGTGCTGGAGTACCTTTAGAGGTAAGGTTAGGAAGTGCTAGTTAAATACTGCCACGTGGTTGTGCCATTTAGAGCCTGTAACTTGTTTCAGCAAGTGTTGAAGTGACCATGCTAGTAGACTTTACAACGTAATGGTGAAGGGTACATAGATTTCCGGTATCTGAAATGTAATTTTCCTAACCTGTCCACCTCTGGTGTTATGGGTAGGATTTTAGACATAAACTCTTTGAAGTACTGGAATGTACTCAGTCATTTTAACCAAGGTAACGTCTGGTATTTGTACCGTTGAGCTAGTAAACCCTCAGGAGTTATAATGCGAGCCCATATTCATCACCAGCTTTTACTTTCTTTCAGTTCACTGGTGGAAGAATTCAGAAAGACACTTTGTGCTCTATGGCAAGGAAGCCAAACTGCGTTTAGTCCAGAGTCCTTATTTTATGTTGTTTGGAAAATTATGCCAAATTTTAGGTAAGTTTTATAAAACAACATTATTTTTTATTGTAATCTTGTGTTGTTGGTGTCATGATCTCAAACCTGCTGGATGTGGGAGATGGAGAATGCAGACTTCCTATGTGTATGTCCACAAATACGCCTGGAAAAAAAATCCTTACTTATGTTTGCTTTTGTGTTGGTCAGTAGATCTTTTTTCCCCACTCTTCGACCATATGCTGCATGTAACACTGTTGGAGATGGCAGAGATCTCAAATGCTAAAACACTTTGTAAAGTGTTTGTAGAGATACTTTGTGCCTCGTGGCAAAGAAGCAAAAGTGCCTTTAGATCAGAGTCATATTCCAAGCTTGCTCCAATAAGAAACTGATGTAGTCAGATTAAAAATGTGCAGGTCTACATGCAAATGTACTGGGTAAAACTTCCTTGATTCTCTGAAAGCACAGTTATCATCACTAGTTGGATGTGAAATGAGGACTGTAATAAAACTAGGCATTTTGTGCCCATACTGACAAAAAAAGAAAGACAATGGTTACTCAAGTAAATTGAAGTATCATTCCTCTCCAAGGTCTCCCTGTCCTGGCCCCTGAACCTCTTTCAAAGGAGCACTGAAACCTGTTAGGATATATTGTGATGAAGGTAAGTTGCTCCATGTTCTCAGGTGGTAAAGATGCTGTTATCTGTTACGCCTCTAGCAGTGCTGAAAAGATGCTGTGAACATACACGAGTAACCCAAATAACAAAAGTGGTTTTATTCTATTCTTCACACTGCCTAGTCTGTTTCAGTTGGCTTAAGAGAATCAAGGAAGTTTAATACCAGTAGTTTCATGCAGTGACCAAAAACTCCATCCGTGATGTCTTCAATCATTTTTCCAACTACAGTCTTCGCTGTAATTCCCGATAGGCTGAGCAAGAAACAATTTGAGTTCCTCAAGCAAATTTTCAGCACTGTGGATTCTATCAGAGTTTTTAAAAGTGTTTTTATATTGCTTTAGGGTTTTAAAATTATTTTCCCCTTATTCCCACTTAGCTGGGAACACGTGCATGATTAACTGATGAGGAATCGTTTGGAGAGTAGTGTCAGCTGGTCAGTAAATCCCTGCTCCCACATGGTCCAGTGAGAAATCTTGTTCAGTGCTTGACTGCACCTTGTAAAAGGTGATGGTGTTCCTGTTGTGCGTTGTATGCTGCTCACCAGATGGAACAGAGGAGCTGCATAGATGCTCAGGAAAGGTGGCTGGAACCAATAGCTTACCAACAGCAAAGCGGCTGCTTCAGCTGTGCTTATGAAGTGATGGGGGCAGGGAGGAAAAACATACTTGGAAACTTGGTTTAATTTTTTAAAGCTTAAAGAGATGTCAGTTGTTGAAGGCGTGTGCCTGCCTCCAGGACTGCAAGTGCTGCTTTTCTTTCAGAAGGTTACTGACTTTGTTACAGAACGTTGAACAAAAAAAGGGTTGCTTGGGCTCTAGATGGCATTCTGTCTCATCTCACGTGTGGTCTGTGTAGAGAATATTGCTTATGGTTTTTAAGACTTGTGTATGACAAGCACAGCCAGAGTGTCTCTAAGCTCTGCTGCCGAAGTCCTGCTCCTTGAGGTTGTACTAAAGCTGCTGCTTTGATTCTGCTGCGTGCCAGAATAGCCTGCAGCTTCACGCTGAGTTGCAAGATGTGTGTTTTGTAGTCTTACTGCTGTATAAATAGCACGCTCTATTCTCCTGGTAAATGTCTCTCTTCATATCTGCCTATCGGTAGGAAAAGGGATGTCAGCAGTGGGCCTGTGGTATTACACGAGCAGTCAGATCAGTGATATTACACAAGCTGTCAGAGAAACTCTGCATTTCAGCTGAAGAGCGTTTGTCCATATTCTCACAGTCTTCTCAAGATCTGCATTTAGACTTAAGCTTTTTATCAAATACAAAGAATCTTTCATCTATAAATAACTTACTTGTGTGCCAGCGTAAAAACCCGTGCATCAGGACCACAGCCAACAGCGTGGAATGATTCCAAAGGTTATTTAATCATACCTGTTGGAGATCAAATGCGCTGTGTTAGGAGTTCTTTTAGGAGGAAGTTGTTGTTGGGAAGGTATCTGAAGCAAAGTAGATCCCATAAAGGTAATCTTCAGCTGTTTATGATGATTTTTCCATCTGTTCTCTAAGCAGGAGATACCTGTATTAAATACGCTTTTTTTCTAATGATTTCAAAGCTTGCATTGTCACTGAGAGACGTGGCGTGTGGGAAACCAAATGCTGAGAATAAATACCTTCTATCAGTGGGGAGGGGAACCAGCAGGCAAGCAAACAACTGAAACTGCCAGCAAAGCGTGGGCTTTGTACTAAATGAAGAGCATGCGGTCATTCTGACGTGGTACAGCACCTGTATGTTGGGTGATGTCCTTGAATGGCACCAGTTTTGAGACTTCAGTACGTTGACCGTAACTGGGGTCCAGAGTTGAGATGAGCAGAGTGCTGGCTGAATCCAGGTCTGTGAGTTGTAACAGTTCTGCAGCAGCTCTGTCATTATAAAACTTACCTTACTCGTGGAGATAGCTGCACAGTGACGGTGTGTGAGGGAACAGAGGTTGTGGGGTGTTTTGGTTTTTTTTTTGCACATCAGTGTACCTTTCTGAGGCTTTGGTTCAAAATGCACGTGGCTCTTTAAATCCTGCTCAGTATTGCTAAACAAAGGTATGTTCTTCTGAGTGACGTGTTCTGTCTTGCAGTAATGCAGCCCAAACCTTTGGTGATGATGTTTTTGTTTTTGCTCAAGGGGATACCAGCAACAGGATGCCCACGAGTTCATGCGTTACCTTTTGGACCACCTACACCTGGAACTCCAGGGTGGCTTTAATGGTGTTTCACGTTCAGTAATTCTGCAAGAAAATTCTAGCCTGACTGCGAGCAGCAAATGTTGCATGTAAGAAATGTTTTCTAGTTATTTCTTCAATACCTTTGTGCCTTTGCATAGGTCTGGGTGGTGGATCTGAAAGTTGAAGTGCATGTTTCCTTGTTCGAGCTGTCCTTAGCAAATGTGTAATGTCACAGTTACAAAGCTACGGGGGCATGGACTGTGATCCTATGGGATCTTCTTCCTTCCCAAAGGAAGTATGGCCCTCAGATGAGCATTCTTTGTCCTGGCTGTGAGCGTACAAGTTGTAAACACTTGAGGAGAAAAACTCTGTGTAGTTCCTGTTCTGTATGCATATAGAATTATCTTCTAGAGTGATAGATGGCTTGAAAAATACAGAGGCAGGAAGGCTACCAAGTACCTGTATGCTTAAATTGTCAGTGGACCTTGTAGATTAGGGAGAAAGCAGAGCAGCTTCTGTTGGACTTGAGGCAGTTTCCCTGCAGATGGTCTCTGTATTTTGTTTATCACCTGACACACACTTAAAGCTGGTTTTTTTGTTGTTTTCCTGCCACTGTTGATTTTCATGTTGTTGTGCATCCTGAAACAGGCACTCATCTGCCTATTCATAGAATTGTAAAATAGCCAGGGTTGAAAAGGACCACAATGATCATCTACTTCCAACCCTCCTGCTGTGTGCAGGGCTGCCAACCACGCACCTCTCTTAAAATACAGTGTGGTTTTTCTCACATTAAAGGTACTGCAGGGGAAAAAGCATTTTAATTTGCTTCAGGAAGGAAGGTCAGGTCAGTTCGGTCCTTGGATTGTCTGAGCAGAAGTTGAGTGAATTTTCTCTTTCTGTACTGATGAGGACATAGTAGACAGCTCCCAACCCTCTCCCCAAAAAACAAGTGCCTAAAGTTGCTCTTAGAATTAACGAATGCTTGGAAAGTAAACCAGTTTTGTTTTCAGGACGTGCATAAATGTATCTGGCCCCTGGGAGAACTTAACTTTGTTGAGATACCTACAGTAGTTCTGAGCATGGAGAGGTTGAATATAATAGCAGTGAACTGCCTTCTGTCAGAGGCATGCTGAGGTCCTACGTGCTTAAATGGTTACGATGTGAGGATGCTGTGAATACTCTCTTCTTGAGTGCCCATTTATTTGGGCAGCCATTTCCTTCTGCTTTACAGTTAATATCAGCTCTGCTTAAGGTAGAGGTGGAGCACTGATACAGAACACGGGTTTTTGCAAGCTTGCAGCATCAGAACTACAAGCACAAACTAACAAGTTATTGCAGAGTTGTATAATAAAATGGTTTGTTCTCATTGGGCTGTCTCATTACCTAATCTGCAGAAAAGATTCAGTAAGAGACTTAACCTAATGGAAGTGTAGAGGATGATGATGCTGGTAGATATTGCTTAGCATATGTTAATGTAACGTAAGCTGTCTTTGGTAGCAAAGTGGGAGAAATATAGGAACTTGATTTAAAGGAGTCCAGATTACTTGCAGCAAAGAAGGGTGAAGTTTCCAGACAAAATGGTTGACCTACCTATGAGGGAAGAATTTTTGTTTAAAATCATTTGGAAACTGCCTTAGTCACAGGGCACCTTGTGAGAATCAGCTCTGCTTGATAAAAAGGGACTCAGCCAGTACTTCAGCACTAAAATACCCAGCGTCTGTGTAAAGCATATGCAGTTCAGTTCATATTTCCTGTTGGTACAAGGTAAAGTACTGCAACAGCTGAATACTTGCAGAAGGCACTTGTGGGATGGGTGAAAGCCCTGTGAATGAACAGTCCCTCTTTGTGGACTAAACTTCTCGGTAGCAGCAACGAGTGATAAACTAATTGTATGACATATTACAAATGAAGCCCAGACCAGATTTCTGACTTCTGTGTTCTGATTTGCCTAGAAATGGAGCCTCTACTGTTGTCACAGCCATTTTTGGAGGCATTCTTCAAAATGAAGTCAACTGCTTAATATGTGGAACAGAATCTAGAAAATTTGACCCATTCCTAGGTAAGATGCCTCCTTTTTTTTTTTTTTAAAAAAAAGGGGTGATACAAGGTAGGAAAACAAATCTGAAATTTGATCCATTGAGATGTCATGTGACTGAAACAGAAGTTTAGTGTGGAATGATTAAGCATTGTTTTACTCCACCCTAAAGCTTTTTTGTTATGCTTGTTTTCCCAGATCTTTCGCTAGATATTCCAAGTCAGTTCAGAAATAAACGTACTAAAAATCAAGAAAATGGACCAATGTGCACACTACGAGGTAAGGGTGCCTGGATAATGAGCTCATTAACGAGAACTGGAGTGTACACTCATCTGTTTCAGGAGCCAGGCTTTCAGCCAGGTTATGACTTGGTGGAATGTGCTGATTTTTATCAGATGTTGCAGTAGAAAAAAATGCAAAAACAATTTTCCATGCCATGTCTCACGCATCACTACGTACTGATGTGCTGCTTTAATAAACTGGGGCTGAGAGGTGCTTTGGTTTGAGATGTGCAGGTCAGCTAAATACCGAGGGAAATACTGGCACTGCTTTCTTCATGGTCAGTGTTTTCCATCTTGTCCGGTTCTTCCAGCCCACGTTTGTGTACGTCGATATATAAGAGCTGTACACTAAGGCACTGTGCTTACAAGCACGTTTTGTGAGCGTGCCCCTCATGCAGAGTGAGGCTGACTCTTGTGAGTCTCTGCTTTTTAAACAACATAAACACAGTCCCGTAAAGCTAGGCGGAGTTGCTGTGATTGATCTTGTTTTAAAGGATGTTAATTTTGATGCGTTCATAAATGTACCTGATGCAAACTGCAAAATACTAAGTGAAAAAACATTTTTTTTACCTCTGTTCATTCTGTACTTAAAACGAAATCACTTCTGTAAGTTGAGCAGTAATGAAATTTCTTCTGAACATAAACCATTGTGCTGAGTGGTGGAAGGAATCTTGTTTGAGGGAGTCTTTTTTTTCCTTCTGGAACTGCTTATAGCTGTCTTTGTTGAAAGGAGCAAGGAACATCGCGTGTCAGAACCTGCTGATGTGTAGCAGCTGCAGATTTTGGTGCACGACTTGTAGATTAACAAGACTGACTGCAACACAGGCACACCTTCATGTTACTGAGTTTGCTGCATTTTATGTTACGAAGATCATTGGTTATAATCTTGATTTGTGTGTTGTTCTTGTTTCTAGATTGTCTTCGCAGTTTTACAGACCTGGAAGAACTTGATGAGACGGAGCTGTATATGTGTCATAAATGCAAAAAGAAACAGAAGTCCACCAAAAAATTCTGGATTCAGAAACTACCAAAGGTTTGTATAAACAGGAAAAGTAATAGCATGGCAGTTTGTCAGAGAAACGGCTGCTCAGCTGTTCCTAGACCAACACCCGACCCTTCCAGATAGGTAGCAGTAAGTTCAGCCAATTCCTCTAATGCTTCTGTTTTATTCTATTAATCCCACAGGTGCTATGCTTACACTTGAAACGATTTCACTGGACAGCATATCTAAGAAACAAAGTTGATACGTACGTTGAGTTTCCCTTACGAGGCCTAGACATGAAATGTTACCTGTTAGAGGTATGGAGACTCCCACGGAAACCTCCTAGAGAAATCCTTTCCATCATATATGTCTTTGTTACAAATTGCAGCAGGTATCGCTGAAATCTGAAGAGTTTTGTCTTTTTAACTGCAGCCTGAAAACAGTGGCCCAGAAAGCTGTCTCTATGACCTTGCAGCTGTTGTTGTGCATCATGGCTCAGGGTGAGTACACGGAGTAAGCCTGCTTCGGGGCGCAGATCTCCCCGCTGAATTACATGCCACCTTATTTAAGGCTTTTCTTCTCCTAGTGAATGTCTGTATATATCACTGGTGGAAACATGCAGTAATTTACAAGGTTTTGTGGAACTAAGTTGAAATAACATCAGACAGATACATTTATGATGTAGTTATTCCTGTGAACTCCCCTCGGCGGTCTCTAGGGGTAATCACTAAAGTGAAAGAATGAAAAGCGTGAAAACTAACACTGCGAATAAAGGGCCCTTCCAGAAGTTTGTGCTTCATTTTGACATTCATAGTATAAAGCAAAGATATTTTTCTCTTCAGTTTGAAAGGCACATACGTGTTTATGCCAGACTGTGTGTTTGGAACACATGTAGGAGAGAAGGCCGTGCCACTCCTACAGGAGTGAAACCTCAAAGTCAGTGCTAATTGGCGTGCCACAAAGCTGAGTAGTACTTGTATTTTGAAGTAGAATTGCTGGGTATGGGTTGCTTAGGTTTGATTCTTTTTTTTTGTTTCCCAACCCTGGATGGAACTCTAGAGAATGACTGTAGTTGTGAGAAAACAGCTGTCTGTCCAGGGAAGAAGTAGTAGTTAGAGGAAATCACTCTTTGGCTGTGAAGGAGTTTTTCTAAAGAAACTGTCATATTAATCAAATCCTTGTTGATATCCAAATTCAATTCAAAGATACTACACAAAATTTTGTCTACAGAACCACTCCTTCTGCTTGAAATAAAGGGTGGACTATCTAAAAGACAAGACTCCTAAAGGCAGCCTTCGTAGCACCACAGTGCATCTGACTGGTGCTTTGAGGTCCAAGGAGAAGTACAGGCATTAAGGGAGAGCCGGCCATGGCTAGAACAGAATGAGATGGTTGGAAACATGAAACGTGTGTTGCAGCAGCATACAGAAGTGAGAGCAGGCCTCGTCTTGAGTGGCAGGGAATGAAAATTGAGAGAGTATAGCTCGCTTAGCTTCAAGATGTGGCTCCAAAGCTTGGGTCTGTTTAAACTGCTCTTGAAGGACTTCTTTTAGTAGTCTAGTATTTGTTTTGCTGTGGGTGCTCTTGATTTAAATTTAGACGTTTCTTTAGACCTCAGTAGGCAAGATGTGTAAAAACAAAGCGCAGTGCAGTCTTCATAGCTACTGCTCGACTCCCCTGTAAGCAAACGTGGAAGTTCTGTGTTGCAAGAAGCCTTGCTTGTGCAAGAACAGCAGCGTGCTAGGAAGTTGATACTTAAAAACCCAAATTTAACTCAGCGTGAAACCTTAATTCAGACGACTTAAAGCTCCGCAGTGAAGAAGGGAAGAATCATACCATCTGCTGTAGAGAGCGGTCAGTTCCTTTCTTCCTGTGGTTCCTGGAAGTCTTAGTCCATTACTGCCTAGCAGCGAGCGCGTCAGAGAATGAGGTGGTCTGTCTCTTTCTGATTGTCCTTTCTCTCTTCTCCCCGCGCGCTGACAGCGTTGGATCTGGACATTACACCGCGTACGCAGCTCACGAAGGTCGTTGGTTCCATTTCAACGACAGTACTGTAACTCTGACCGACGAGGAGACTGTGGTAAAGGCAAAGGCCTACATCCTCTTCTATGTGGAACGGCAAGCCAAATCTGGATCAGATAAACTTTAATACCTCCTTTTAATTCTCGCTTATCAAGTCCACGGGACAAAACATTTCCATTTTTCCATAAATACTTGATCCAAGACTATTAATTTCATTGTGCACTTTTCGATTTCCTCTTGTGGGTTTTAGTTTCGTCATGTCAGTGGTAGCATTTGACTTACTGAACTTGGACACAAACTAACTTTTTTTAGTTATACCAGAAAACCTCAGCAGATTTTGATTTGCTGCTTTAGTTGTGATAACTCAATTTTTATATATATATATAGTTTCATGAAATACCTAGTTATTTGACTTTTTTTATATTAATGTTTCCAGTTCTCACTTTCTAAAGGCACATTTACATCAGAGAAGCTTTCTATTCTCTTCACAAGCGAGACAAATGTGCTTATCACAAAGAGCAATAGAACTGTGTTGCTCTCACAGCTGTTGTATAGATCAAGGAATTGCTTGCACATAATGTTTTGTCTCGTGCAAGAAAGTAAGCCGTGACCTCTGACCAATCATTCTTTGTCTGCAGAAGAGATGAGATGCAGCATCATTGTAGACCAGGTAATTGCTGCTATAGCTGCTATATTGGTGTGTATTCAGGCTGCTGAATTTCATGAATTGTTGTAAATAAACAGTTGTTTAATTGTATCTATACTGCAGAATAATTCAAGTATTCTTCACGTATGCTTTTCCCTCCCCCAAAAGTTCTTTAAAAGTTACCTTAAAAAATATACATCTAAATTGTCTTGATTTATTTTATTATTTTTTTTCTAATCAGACTTGAATTGTTAAAAGTTGCCTCTTGTTAGACTGTCATCCTGTAGTTTGATCACAAACACTTCCTTGCTTTAAAACTCACTCGGAGAATTCCTGGCAGTGGAACCTCCGCTCTCTTTCCATCTGGGAACTGGGAGCACAGCCTCTAAGTGTGGGGTTGAGAGAACAGCCTTAGGCCTGAATATATTCTGTCTGCTTTGGTGCCTGTAGTTCGCTTGAAGCGGAAAGGAAGCGGATGGATAGAGTCTGAGATGCTTGATGTGTATTTTGTCACTTCAGATAGGAACTAGAGGGAAAACAGCTTGATGGGTAAATCCAGAACTACTTGTTGACCGGAGCAGATTCCGGTAAGCTGTAGTGTTTATTTGTTAGCCCAGTGTGGGATCTCTTATTTTCAGTCTCAAGATGTACACACGCGGCATGACGCAATTTGTGAGACCTGACTATGCAACAGAGAAAGATAGCTGCTCCAGGTTTTCAGCTCTACTCCTCCTGCACATAGCGGACGTCAGATAATCTCTGCTAGTGAGATTTTTAAAAAGGTGGTCAGGAAAAACTATGTTGCAAAATCCAGGAATTCTGAGAACACCCAAAATCTGACAAATGCTTCATTTCAATGCTTTCCTTGCACCCCCCCTTTCTAGTTATCCCCCACTGCCAGTAACCGGGTGCAATCTGAAAAGCTTGGTGGTAAGAACAGCTTTTTACTTCACGTAAGAGCATGCTTTCAGTAGAATAGACTAGCCTGAAAACACCCAAGAACTGAAGTTTAACATGTGAGTACTCTTTTCATTTAACGCTTCTAAAAAGACCACGTATGCAGCAAAAATTTCCCTACAAATTGTACTGTATAGCTCAACCTAGTGCAAGCGGGTAAGCTCCTGTCCCCTTGCTGTGGGTTACCTGGTAGAAATACAAATAGAAATTACAGTCAGGTGAGCTCCTCCTGAAATGTCAGTCTTATGGTTTTTTCAGATCATCTTAAACCAGGAGAGATTGACTGACTTAATATAAAAGCTGTAGAAAATGTTCAGTTCCCATATTCATACACGATCAGCAAAATGGAACATTACTTAAAATCTGTTGTGACTATCTGGTACGTTAATGGGAGTCATTATATATATGTATTTACACATACATATACTATATACACATCTGTGTATATGTATATATACTATATACATCATATGTACTCCCATTAATAGTCTCTCTATATAGATATGGGAGTCTATATGTTATGTTATGGGAGCCCAGATGTATACATACAGATAATCACAATAGATTCTATAAATCCTCAAGTTGAGCAGTAAATAGAACTCTTAATTGTTTAAGTTGCAGATAGTTTAACTCCCGTTTCTCAGTTTCACGCAGTCGGAGTTGGCTCTAATCAGAATAGATGGTGACATTTGACAGACTTCACTGCTATGTGGGATGTGAAATATTTTTTTTACAGCCTTTAAACCTCAGAGGGCAGCTGCTGCTCCCAGCTGGGACATTAAGTAAGTCAATTCCATCTATGTCTGCGTGCTGCTTGGCTTGCATTGCTTTCTAGGGTTGTGGTGTGGGAATACAAACCTTAAACTGCACAACTAGCTGTGGGCAGAAACAGTTTAATGGGCAGGAGTCAGGTGTATGCAGCATTCTTGCAAACTGGTGATGTAAATGTGCCTTTCTGTACTTGTAAGAACTTTATTTGTAATCTTCATGCCATTCACTTACTTGTTTTAAGCAGCTTCTTATTTCTGTTAATTTTTGGGGTCAGACCAATTTCTCACGTAAGCATTTACTTTCAGTAACATTTTCTCTGTAATGTTAAGGTCTTGGGCAATGGTATCCAGCGTGGTCCATGTCAGCTGTGGCCGTGGGAATGCAGTGCAATCACATCAGCCTTGTTCTTGCAGCACGTGGTGTACGGACTTGGCCATATGCTTTCCTGGAACAAATACGTTATAAACCCTTACCTAATTCAACTTTCTCCCACTGCAAAACCAGATGGACAGCATGAACAGTTTGTTGTGGCAACACAAGTATTTCTCTTCCTGGTGGAGAACTTTGCTTATCCACTGTATTCTATTCAGTGTGGTGTCAGAAGAAAAAAAAAAAGTAAGCACTGAACCAGTAACCTATACTGCACCTGGCCTAGTATTACATTTTTAACCTTACTTGTATAGCCTATATTTATCTACTAGCTTGTGGGAGGGGAGGGATATCTCATTTCATTCAAGCCAAATGTTTCTACTTAACTGCTGATCACAGTACATGCTAACAGGCAGGAATTTGTCTTGCTTGCGACTGCTCTGCAAGTAGCAGCTGCTCCCTGCAGTTCAGAGACTTCTGTATTTTTCACCAAAACGTGTCTGAGTGAGGGTTATCCTTTTTTGTTAGTCACTGTTTAGCCACGTACACAACTGGAGACGTGATCTATGTAAAACAGAACTGCAGAACGCCCAGCTCTCAGAACGCTTCTGCTCTGGTGTGTTGCATATTGAGCATTTAAAGTAGTGTGGCATTATGGAAAATGCTACAGCACTGACAGAGCTCCTCCTCATTGTGTAGGCAGAAGGGATTTTTCCAGGTGTTAACAGCTGCATGAGATGAGAGTTTATAACTCGTGGGGAGGGGGGGCCATGGATGTGTTTCAGAAGCTGAAGACCATTTACAAGGATTTTGCTAAAGCGGTGGAAAGCATAACAGTTGGTGTTCACAGCCTCCCCTGTGTTTCATTGCTGATGTGTCTGTGTCTTACTGATGAGGTAATCGGCACCTTGAAAACTGATTCCGATGTGCTTTAGGATATCTTCAAGTACTGTAGTGCCATAGTTGTAATTGTTTACCATTAAAATTGTGTGTAATTTTCAGTGGGGATCACTGACTGTGCTCATCTTGTGTGTTATTGGAGCATTTCCAGGATGAATGTGAATTTTGTCTTATTCACACAGTGTTTATGGAAAATGTGCCATTAAAGTGTCTCTTTTTCCTTAGGCAGTGAAACTTCTCTTGTCCTTCTGCAGGCTTTCAGAGTATCGTTAGTGTTCATGAGTTTGAGCAGGGAGGGCAAAGTATTTTAACTTCAGAGAAAAACAGAATTAAGAACATTTTGGTGCTCTCCCTGTTTAAGACCTCTATCAGAACCTGGTATTTAAACCCAAAGAGAACCCAGCTGTACCAGATCTTGTCATACAACAGCTGTTATAATTGGCTTGACCATAGTGTGTGTCCTCTGTGTGCTTTAAAAGTCCATCCCAGCAATGGTAACTTTGAGTTTGCTTGTTAGCTTATGTTCTTCCTTAAAATAATATTCCTGTGCTGTATTAACCTTTTCAAAAGTGAAAGTAAGTTCTAAAAACAAAGCAGGGAGAGAATCTGAGTTTGAAAAGCTTAGTATGAGAACACAGAACAATTCCCAGCATCATACCATCCAAGCTGCAATTTTCCATTGCCTGGCTTACCTGGTACGTGACATCATCTGCTCTTTTCTGTAGCTTGATGAAGTCATGAAGCTGGCCATAGCCAGCTTCTGAGCATGGGAAGGAAGCAGGACTACCCTTCTAACTTTAAGGAAAATGCTTAATGACAAAGGATATAAAACCAAAAAGGCAGTCATTAAGCACAACTTAGTAATTTTCTTCTGTAAATGCTAACTTAAAAGAACTGCATTCATCCCCCAGTTGTTTTCTTTGAGCCACTGTGGCCAAGGAATATGCATTACTCATGCAGTGATCAGAAGTAAGAAAACAACTGCTGCAGCCTGCAAGTAGATTTTTTCTTGTTTTGGCAGAGTTCAGTTTCAAACTGCTGTTTCAGACCAAAAAGTAGAAGTTGTTGACTTTGGTTCCATTTAACCCTCTCATGCTGAGACAAATGCAATTAAAACACATAGGTACATAAAATTTCCCGGGTACAAAAAGGAGCATGATGCTGGGCCAATAAAAAATCCTTCAGGGGCTGTTTTACTCGGCACACTTACAAATGAGTTAGTTAATAATATCACTGGACAGAAGATGGATATGAGCCAAACACCACTTTTTTTCCTTCGCAAACACAGAAAGCTACAGGACTGGTCATTATTGCTTTTAATTCTAACCTCCCCATCTGCTGTTACTGGAATTGTTTGAATGAGCCTCTTTTAAATTCCTTTGTGACAGTCCTTGAACAGGAGACCAAAGCGCAGCTTTAGAATAATGAATGAAAAAGGATAGAGTTATCTTAAGCTGCAAAAGCTAAGTTTAGAACATGAGAGGCTGAGAGCTACCCCTTGCAGCAGTACTACCCTCTGCCCCTTCCCATTCATTAACGCGGCACAAGCTCTTTGCTAAGTAACAGGCCTGCCTAAAAATAAATTAAAAAAAAAAATACCTTATAAGGAAGCATTCTGTGAAAGTCAACTCCTGCTGTTTTTTCTACATGCCCATTCCATTCCCTTGAAGGAACAGAACAACAGTTTCAACATGCATCGTCCTTATCCTTTCTCCATTCTTAACTTCTGCACCGGTTGTTGGCCAAAAATAAACACCATTCCACAACCATATATGAGCAACAGCCTTCTGGTGATCCCAACGCCTTCCAGCACTGCCATCATTCCAATGCCAGGAGACTGTCAGCTCCCGAGCACGCTGCAGGGGCAATGCACATAACCCAGCTGAATCGGGAATGCCTCTTGCATCTCTTTTCCTTTCTGGACAAAAACAGCAGGAAAAGTTTAGCAAAAACATGTCATAGATTGCTAGAAGTGTTTCAAGATCCTGTGCTTTGGTCTCTACTGAACTTTAATTCTCCAGTGGAACTACAGAAGCATAACTACCTCCTGGGACCTGCTTTAAAATACTTGTCCATCTGCTGGTATTCAGAGAGAGTCAAGGTGTGTAACATTGAGGACTGGATGAAAAACAATTTCCAGAAAGACTTCTGTAGCAGGCATGAGAACACTGTCACTGATTTTTTACTAGAAGTTGGCAACAGGTATGTGCTCTGGGTGTGGAATTTATGCTGCATTACTGTAGAAGAAGTTAGCTGCTTGGAAAATACAACATTTAGAACGGTTGACTCACCTCCATACCGCCTACCTGACAGAAACGGGGCAGAGAGAGAGTGCTTGGATTGTGCGGTTTTACTGTTGGTTTTATAGTGGTAATAGTGCATCTTCTCACTGACTTTCCTCAAGCCTATTTTTTTCCCCTCTTATTGGAAGAATTCTTAATACAGGAAAGTGCAATACTGCTTAGTAAATAGCTGCTTAATTCAGCTGAACCATTTGGTCAATGTGGAGGATTGTCCAGGGGGAACTCCTAAGGGAAAGGCATGGTTTCACACTGTGAAAGCATAAAAACAAGCGCATTACTAAACAGCATTTCTTTACTAGTAGAATTTAATCATGTCTCTGCATCTCTGGGTTTTATAAACTGCAGTAGAAGAAAAGTGCCACTGTGGAAAAAGAACTCTCTGACCACACTGTTTCTTCTACCAGCTTCAGTGCTACAGAGCACCTCTAAGAAAAAAAGAGTTAACCTGCAGTAGGAGGAGCAAATGCAAGTCAGAACCAATCCCAGTGCATTTCAGTAACAGCAAGACTGGCACTGGCCGGCTCAGAGCTGGAACAGCACACCTTTGTGCTGCACCCAGCCCTCAGCTTAGTGCCAGAACGTGCCAAGCAGAAAGCTCTGTATGGAACTAACACTTTAAAACCACCAACAAACTGGGACAGTGACAGAATGCAGGGTGCCAGTGAGAACGAGCAACAGGGCAATAAGGACTAAAATATGGGATCAGAAAAGAATGCAAATTTTAAGTAGAAAAATACCTAAGTAATGAGCCACAGACCATTAGGAAACACATCTTTCCCTAGGAAGGAGGGGCTTGGGAATAACCATTCCCTCATTTTGGGCACTGGCATGTCTACCGAGATGCCACGCTTAACCGTTATTTCCATTTTTTGCCATCACAAATAAATAAGAACTCAGGAAGGACAGCAGACCACAGCTCTGCAGGCAGTTTAACGCTGAAGTGTCTTCCTTCTCTACAGAATACATAAAGATGGGTTATTTGCTGTACAAAACGCAAAGGTGGGGTAGCAAGGATTCCATCCAAGTTCAGCAAACCGCCTCTCTGCATTAAACACGTTAATAATGTCCGTAAGTTAAATCTCCACTCCTAAAAATGACAGTTTATTAACAGTGGTCCACCTCATCCATTTTAGCCCCTCCGAGTCTGTGAAGCAACCCTCTTAAAGCATCGCAACAGAATTCCTAGCACTCTGCTAGGAAAAAAAGGAATATTAACCAAGAAAGAAATACTAAATTAATATTTAACTTTGCTCTCTGAATTACAAGTACTTCAGTTCTGTTGATGAAACTGTGCAAGATGGGTCTGTCAGGTCCTTCCTTAATTTTTGCACACTTTTTTTTTTTAACTGTTCACAAGCATACACAAAAAGAGCAAAATGAAGAGAATGTGGCTGGCATGATCTCACTATTACCTCTGCTCTAAAGGAGAGATCAAGCAGCATCTGGGGTTAATGTGTGGAAAGGGATGTACTGTTCTTTTTAAGGTAAAAAAGAATATGCTGCAGTTATGGCTGCCCAGCTGTGGTAGAGAACGGAGAGTCCCTTGTTTGTCCCCACTGCTGTACACCACGCCTTAAACCAGTACAGCCTTTGAGCATAAATTTTTAGACAGAAGTGCTTCCTGTTGCTGCGCTGATGTCTCTCAAGATCAACAGTAGCGTTACTGTAATCGCTTTCTCCCTCAGCAACAGAGCCTAAAGAAGTCCTGGTGCTCCTCAGAGAGAGCTGTAAGCAAGAAAGCAAACAACGTACTTATCTGAAGGACTGGGGGGTTGGTGCATAAGGCTCCTTGCAAACATGGCTGGTTAGTGTAGCAGCGAGGAACCGGCCTGCACAGGCAGCGTCCATCATAAATACTGACTTGAAATAGGACTTCCCTGCACTTTCTCAGGTCTACACAAACAGCATACACAATTTTTTTGTCTTTTAAAGCTTTTTTCAATTTTCTGCGACATTTAACAGTACAGTTATTACCAGCTTCAATTATTTGAATGAGTTGTGTGGGGACCAAACATCAACAAACCCCACTAAGGGAGATGCTGGCACCCGCTCAGTAAAACCAAGGAGTTGCAATGCACACGCAAATCCCCATAAAATCGTGAGAGTGGGAGTGTCTTACTTGCCTACACTCAGAATGTCTACAAAACTTCACTGACTTGTCCACAAATCAATTCTGACCTGAACCCATGACCTCTACGGGGTCTTCATCAGCTTATGTACGCATCCACTTCCCCTTCTCCATTGTGCTGACTGAGCTACAGCTGTTGACAGCAACAGAAAAAGCAAAGGAAGGTAAATAAGAGTGTTGTGATAGGTAAAGCTGAGCTTTAAGGCCTATTTGTGTCCCTCCCTACTCATGCTTTCTCACCCCTCCTGGTGGAAGAGGAAGTATTTCTTCAGTATTTATTCTGCAAGACAGTGGCTTCTCCAAGTTCTGTATATTATTTATTCTTCCCTCACCTCACCTTCACAATTACGTTTCAGATGTCCAAACCTGCTATCTCTGACCCTCTCAGGATGCGGCCACGTTACAGATGATTGCCTCTTGCTTCTCCTCAAGAACTGCCCGAGCCTCAAGACACTCAAACTGGAAAACTGCGCGCGAATCACTGACCGGACGCTGGAAGCAGCAATCCTCTATGGGGGATCACTGCAAACGCTGCACGTGGATTTCTGCCGGAACATAACACAGAGCGGGCTGGAGAGAGTTAAGGAAAAACGTCCCTCGGTAGCACTGAGAGCAGAGAGAAGTGCTAACATGATTCCAGACAGTAAGCCGGAAAAAAAGTTGGCGTTTGAAAAACTGTCCAGAAAAATGGCTCAGCTTTAAGTTATATGGAGGGTTGATTTCCACTTACCTCCGGCGTGGCACTACTTCAGCTACCCAGGGGTACTCTACTGCACTCTGGTTTAAGTCCAAATAAATGGCTGAATGTTTTGTAAAAGCTTCACTGGAAAAAGGCATGAGTTTTCACACCTTTTAAAGAAAGAACACCTCTGCTTTTGCTGTTCCTTGAAATTGGAAAAATCATGTGTTTATGTCACATAATGCAGCATTTAATTAGTCAAGTCTAAAAATGTGAATTGGAGAAAAGCAACAACCAGAAGACCCTTCACATTTTCATTATGACAGATCATTTTGGCAGTAAGGTACAAAAAGGAATTAAACTAAGTCGTCAAACACAGTAAAACCTTACTTACCAGCAACCATGAACTCCATCACCAAGTCAAAAAAAAGGGTTACATCACAGATATAAATCAAATTTCCAGTGGAGAACACTACTGCTCAATATCACGCTCTGTTCTTATCAGTCCCCTCTAAGCATGACAGACACCTGTACTGCTGCGCTGCAGGGCAGGTGGCTGAGCCACCTCTACTTACATTTAGCATTTAATGCTTTAAGCATATTGTGTTCCATGCTTCATTAACCTGCAAAGGAACTGAACAAACACATTGTCACACACCTGTTCCTACCTCTGATACGTATTTCCTATTGCTGCTACAGTCATACACATTTCATCCAGTGCTAAAAAGCAGAAGGGAAATGGTGATGCTTTGAAACAGCTCACAGCCTACCCTGCTGCACAGCTCTGTCATTAGCAAGTTACAAGACTGAGCTGCATGCATTTTTTATTCTATGTATGTGTGCATACCTATATATAGGTATAGATGACTAAAACTACAGTAGAGATGACTGACACTACAGAATGCAGATACACACTGGTAATACTTTTCTTTTTCTATACAAAGATGTTTGCATATATAAAATACTCAAACGGATATAAAGTTATAATTTTCTCAGAGTGTCTCCAATGGACAGCAGAACTGAGCAAGTGCATTCTTTACCTTCAAATGCAATTATGTCTGAGAAGCACTATGCAATAAGAGTGAACGCAATTCCAGTCTCACTTTCATGTCTGAGCAACTGAAAAAGCCAAACAGCAGACTGAAAGGAACATGTGCACAATGCCATGACAGTGAAAACAAACAGTTGGATAAAATAAAAATAAGCAGTTAGGTTGAATCATGCTAAGACAGAATATGCAAAGGACAGGGGTAATTTAAAAAGGAACTGCCCTCAACTGTTCAATGAACATCCATGTTTACAAACATCAGCATCCCCTTTTACCTAATTGCAAATTGTCTCCAAAAATACCCTCATTATCTGAGAGCCAAAACACACAGTCTGTGCAAAACTGAATTCTGAGGTACAGTTCTATTACCTTCTGTATCTGACTGAACACGCTGGCAAAATGATGAAGGATAAATGACATAAAGGAGGTCCAGTATACAGTACTTTCTGTAGTGCATATATATGTAAATATAGATATGTACAACACCTAGAATTTAATTCAAGATGTGAATATACTCCTCCACAACACAGCGGTGAGATGCAGAACTCTCAGTCCAATTTGAAACACGAAGCAGCAGGAAACTACACCTGCCTGACTTCAGAGCCCTGGCCCTCTTTCTCCCAGGACTGTTAAAGGGCCCGTCTGGATGTTTCATGCTACAGCCTGGTTCTTGCTCGTTGCTGAAGAACCTTTTGCCTTCTTTGTGAGCCAACAGCAAGTCCCAGCTGAAGCAACTTCACCAGATACAACCTGGAGCTGAGATTCTTTACAATTCTTTACTCATCCCTTTGAGCACCGTCAGGTGGCACCAATACACCAGTTAGTCTTGGACAACTGGGAAGTTTCCCTCGTAATCCCTGCTAACCTGCAGCAATCACAAGCAATAGGAATGTCTGCATTCTTCTCCAGACTCAAACAGTCATGTACCAGGTGAGTTGAGGTTAATGAATTCTCTCCCCCGCCATGTGGTCCCAAACACCCTTAGCAAGGGATTCCAGCGAGAAGGAGGGGAAGTCAGGCCAGGGCAGCAGAGAAACACACCCTTCTCCTCAGCCCAGTGACATCATGTTCCTGAGCACAAACAGTATTTGCAGTTGGGCACAAATTATGGTTGTGGTACAGAGACTGAAGAGGATTATCTTCCACAGTGCTCCCCTAAGACGGCAAATAAAAGTTTCTTTGTAACAGTACATTGCTGCCCTAACCAAGCACGAATGTTACCAAATACTGCTGATTATAATACAATTACAGCTGCAGCAGATACCAAACGTGGTTTACTAAAATCAAAGGCAGATACTCGGAATGTATACAAAATCCACAGCTTCAACCACTATCCTGCCACCTTCATTTATTGGCACTCTGTTTCTGAGTCACAGTGGCTGTGTATTATTACTGTCAACAAGGAATACTCTGGAAAAGTGTCCAAATGGAAGTGGAGAAGGAATCACATACAACTTTACCTTGTATTGCAGCACACGGTATAAACAGTGGTACACCTGAACACGTCCTCAAAGATATGAAGAACGCAGGGCACAGTCCTACCCATCACACAGTAGAAGATAAACATTTCAGGGTGTTCCAAAAATCACGTCCTGACTAAACATGGTAATACTGTCATTTCCTGAGACAAAACGAAGTACGAAGGCTAAATAAACCAATACACAATTCACAAATGCATCCAAGCAACCAATTCTCGAATTTGCTTTATTTTTCTCTGCATAAGGAACCCTGCACAGGCAATTCAAATTAGAACAAAATAAATATGTGAATATTCATGTAAAACTGTCCTTGCTAATGAACAATTATACACAATGTACAACCCTTCATGTTCACTGGGAGGGCTTACAAATGTACTATTCCCAACAAAAACGCACCCAAAAGTCTCCATGCAAACTTATCAAAAGTGACCAAAAAAGGAGAAAAAAAATTATTGATCATACTTTTTTTTTGTTTTCTTTTTTTCTTTTTTACAATCACAAAAAAATAAAAACATCTAATTTTTTGTTACATTTAGAGTAACTAAAATGTGGCCACTGTTTATTAACATCTGCTTTTATGCTCCTAAAACATCTATGGTTACCATAAAATTATGTCAACAACAAATTGGACTTAGGGCACTATTTTCAGTAAAAGGAAGATGATTTTGTTCACAGAATGTTAATAATCTGTGTCTGAGCCCTCTGCATTGTCCACATTCCGTGAGAGCATATAATTGTCCATATCTATAGACCTGCAATTATTGATTGCATAGCGCAAACGCTCTGCCATGATTAGTTGACTGGAGTAAGGTGGGAGCCTCAGTTGAAAGAAACAAGTCTGTGAGGTAGGCAAGCTGTCGTAAGGCTGTGGAAATGGATAAAAGGTGGGACACCGGTAAGTTTGTGAACGTAGTAAAAATACAGCACATCCATATTTCATTGCTTCCATCTTCCCTGCCTCTATCGTCCAGCATTTTCTCAGTTTACCTCAATATTTCTCTTAAGAAGCAGACTAGCATCCCTTGTTTGCGTCTCCTGTTTCCTCCTGAATTGTGTGACAAACTACTGTTATATCAACTGCTCTGTGACTTATTTAGCTCAGTATGGAAACGCAACTATTGGAACTCTTGATCACAATATTCAGCAACCCACTGGAAGATAACAAACAACATTCAAATTTATGTATCTTACTGTGCCTTAACGTGAGGTGACGTGAAAGACACTGAACCAAAGATGACAGTCCAACTACTGTTATCTTTGCCCAAATATTTGATTCTTACAGTTAGAGAACGTGCTTTCACTGCTCAAAACAATGAGACAATGCAAAATGTAGGCATCCTGTACGTGATGTACTTCAAGGATACATACTGTAAAACTCAGGCTTCAGAGTTTGTTAACGGTCATATGACAAACTTATGGGAGTAATAATTATCAAACAAAAAAAGGAAATGCAACAGAAAATGACTGTGGACAAGTTACAACAGAAGAGGTTTGGTTTCCTCATGCAAGAGCTTGTCTTGACCTCCAATCACAGAATTACAGTAAATGCACCAAATGAATTCATATCCAATTCATGCCGTGTTCCAGCTCCTCCGCTATTAAAATCCTTGGTTTTAATACCTCAGGGAATATCCTACTCCACGCTTTCTCTGTAAATGTACAATTATGGAAACCTGGCTCTTATTGCAAATGGACAGATTAAGCTAAATAGGAATAATAAATACAGATAATAATATTAAAAAAAGAGAGAATAAAAAAACCAGCATCTTACCCTATCAACCTTCATTATTTGGAATCGCTGAGAGATATCAGCTGTGTTGGCTGGCAATCGAGATCTTCCTGACACAAACCTCATGAAAAGGACTCTCTCCTCATTTGAAAATTCTTCAAGGGTATGCCAGAACCACTGCACCAGCTGATGCTGCTCATCAACTTCTCTGTATCGCACAACTTTCTTCAAAACTTCAACTGATATTTCTGGCATTCCACAGACCATTTGCTCCAACTGCTTAGCAGTCAGAAGAGACAACAAGGGAACGGGAACAATCCAAGACATGCCTTCTCTTACAGCAGCCACCTATTGCCCAAAACAGAAGAAATACTGGAAATGCAATTGTCTTACCTCTATCACTTATTGTACTTTCCAAATAAATGCAGAGGCAACTTATCTGCTGAGGAACAGGGTAAAAGGAGAGAACATCTGCCAAATACATATGCATCCCCTGTAAGGACTACTACATCCTCTCTCAAAATTCTGGAGAATATTAAAGGTACAAAACTAAAATTATTTTTAATAGTAATTGCAAATGGCACAATACAGAAGAACTTAAAGTGCAAGTTATCAGCACAAATAATAATGGCAAAACCAAAAAGCGGTGCAGGTATCACACATCTGAGCTGGAACAAAGTTGGTTTTTTTTTCTAGAAGCATGATTTGGTTAACCTTATTTAGAAAGTTATCTTCCTAATGCAGGTAGCAATACTCTGCATATATCTATACATGGAATAAAAGGAAAATAATTTTCTTCACAAGTAATTAGCGTATTTCATCCTTTTATGAGCTTCACTACACAAGTGACAAAATACACAGACCTATGAAAATAGATAATTAATACTTCTCAGAACATTAAACGTTGTATTTTTAGTTTCAGTGCTAAAGGAAAAGAGAAACAGTTTTAAAAAACAATGTTTGTTCACAGTATTTACTTCAGCTGGACTATGTTGCTGTGACATCTAATAATACTGCACAGTACGTATAGTTGTGTGGAGTTTCCCAAGAGGGGATGGCAGTTGCAATGACACTAATCTAGTGAAAGAATAGGTCTTACTGCCAGTGCTCTTTTGTCAAACGTGCATTTGCTATGGAAAGTAGGACTGGCCTAAAACAAGCAAACAAAATAGAAAAGTTTGCAGGGGAAAAACAATCCTCGGGGACCCCATCCAAGATGCAGAAAACCAAACTTTTCTTGTCCTCTGGAATACGAAATGGAAACTTACATAAATAAAAAACGCTGTTCACGTTAACAGTGGAGAGGGTCACGATATGATTCTTACCTGACGGTCCATTTCATGAAGTCTGTACTCAATTGCCCTTTCCACATATTCTTTCCTGTTTGAAAAGGTAAGTGGGATGCTGTTCCCTCCAGGGATTATGGGAACCATTTTGCCATCAGCACTTTGGCCAACAAAAGAATCCAAAGGAATCATCTGTTATGCAAAACAGAAAAACTTTGTTCAGCTTAAGTCACTCAAGTGATGTATGTTTAGTATTTTACTATCAGTCATCCAGAATTATACTCAGATCACAAACAATTCCAAATGCATATTAAGTCCTTGTTATCCCAATAAAACAAACAGTAGCATTAAGGATGATCTGCTAAAAGCGATCACTTTCATAACTTACCTCATGGAAATTTTCTTCAGTAATCCCACTGTCTTCAATGTGAAGAATGCTGTTGAGGGTCTGCACATAGAGCAGATCTACCTCCTCCAAATCCTCCAAGATGAGTGGGATACAACAAAGTTGCTTCCAGACCATTGGAGCCAAATGAAGATCTAATGGCTTTTTTGTGCGAATAGCTACACCCATGAGAATGCCCAAAAATTTAAACTGCATCAGATGCTCATCTAAACATGCTGAAGGGTTAAAAAGAAACCTGAAAGAGAAGACATTGAAGTCTACAGTATAATATATCTATGCTGCTTCATTAGAAGCAAAAGATCAAGTATTTCTAAGCACTGCACAGTAACTGCCAACACAATTATCAGCAAGGGGTACCCAAGTAAGAAGATTATCTTAAACAGAAATAAGGGACACAATTTTGTAAAAATAATAATAATAATAAAATAGTTAACAGAAGTTAATTTTCACCTACTGACATCTGAAGTAAAAAGAAATTCTAGATAACTTACCTATCCCTATTGTAGCCTACTTCAGCTGTGGCATTTGGGGAAGGAATAAGCAGGTCTACTACTCCAGTTTCAAGTTCCTTAAAAAGGAATAACAACAACAACAAAACATTTTTACACATGGGAACAACAAGCACATTAGAGAAATACTGTGACATTATGTAATACATTACAAGACAGAATATTGTACTACAGTGATGATAACTACTTAAATATTCCTGTGTAATATTTAAGGGAAAGAAACAAAATGGGGTGATTTTTATTCATAAAATCATGTTTATTTAAAGACCTGCCTTTACATCAGACTATAATGGTTGTTCTACTGTGACTGCTCTGTCATGCATTGCTGGTTCTTGTTCTGGAAATGATCAGAAGCCCTAAACTCTACACCCTACTGGTACAATTTTTTTTTTTTTGCAAGAACTACAAGATGAAACAAATGTTTTCATTAGTTACGTTCTGAACTTTTATTAGCCCTCTCTCATACTTAATGTAAACTGCTTAGGAAAGAAACATAAATTATGAATTCGAAAAGACAACAACAAGCTGTCAACAGCAGAAATATCTGGGCTCAAGTTAAGGTAAAAGTGCATAAATTCTGCTGGTGAACTCCTTTCCAGCACTGAACCTGAGAAGTGACATTTATTTTCACATATGTGAAAACATGCGTGATCCCATGAAACATCTGTCAGAGGACAGAATTGTATGGATGGAATCTTAGTGAAAATATTGGCTGGGGAAAAATGGGTGTCTGCAAAATGCTTCTGTAACATGTAGGGACTATTGCAGAACTTCAAGGGGATTTACTGTAACACTAAGTTGTACTGAGGCTTTTTTCCACCTCCTTGCTACAATCTAAAGGCTCTTTTTTCCCCTTAAAAGGCATCCCCAAGTAGACAGTTCTAGTACCATAGCTCAGGACTGAAGAACAAGAAGAAATTGCTATGCTGCATAAAGGAAAATTGACAAATACAAACAAAACCAGACAAAACAAAAAACTCTACCAGGCATTTCAAACTGATAGATTTCTTCCTACCTGACACATTTCTGTAATTGTGTCATCAAACACTCCCCCTGCATCATCAGCTCCTTCTCCAACCAGTTTCACTTTCCAGGCACGAGAAGGCAGGCGAAGGTCTGACGCATTTAGCTTTACCACTTGCCTTGCAATCTGTACAAAAATGGGTTTGCACTTCCGACCCCTTT